AACGTACGTTAACTTCAACAATACCCTATGATGCTGTGCGGCGCAAGAGACCGGAGTTGTGGTCAACAGGAAATTGGCGCCTCCATCACGACAATGCTCCACCACATTCCTCGCACTTGATTCAGACTTTGTTGGCGAAAAACCAGTCAGTTTTTATTCCCTGGCCAAAGGTCGGATACTTTTCTCACAGGCCTCGTAAATGCAAACAACTGACTGAGCTCATAAAATGTCTACAAAACTAACTGATGCTTGAATGCTAATGTAAAATCTAAAGTATACAATATTTCAAGACAGAAAGTACTTCATTATTGTCTGCACTATGTGAATTTTCAATTTCGGTGTTCTCCACTGAAATTGAAAATTCACATAGTACAGTATTTAGGACAACATTGGGTTCAAAAACCACTCCCAAAGATAATTAGGATCAATACTTTCATCCATAAAGTGCAGGCTATGGCTATGAAAAAGAATCCTTTGACCCAAATAGCCATTGCAGTGAACCTAGACCTATGTCCTGCTACCACTAACTAGTATTAAAGAAGGATTTGAACTTGATGAAGGCTCACAATCCGAACATTCGCTAACTTCCAGCCATATCTCAACATCAATGGCTATATTCAGGAGAAAAAAAACAAAGCTGACAAAACTGTAATCAGTGTAATCCTTCTTTTAAACATATATTTGTCACCCGTCCACCCCATACGCATGAGTACACTTTTTGATGCAGCTATTTTAAAAATTGTATTTTTAGGTTTGTCTTAACCTACACTTGAAAGTCATGGACCTAAGGCATTAACATGGTTGTTCCCTAAAGAAACCTAATCACATAAGAAGTTAAGATAGGTGATAACGAAGGATAATGCAGAAAATAGGACCTTCAGTACTTGTATGTTAAATTGAATCACTGTTTTTCAAAGAAATATATGAGACCTTTCATATACAGGGTCAAAGCAATTTATTTTTAGTTGACATTCAGAAAATATTGAAAAGTACTGTAGTGCTTGATTATTAACTTCCTAAACTATAGTTAGTTTGTAAATACATTTTCAAATGGTAAACATTAGAAAATAAATTATCATGCAAACTAAACCTCCATGTTATTCTTACATTCAAAACTCTGTAGTGATAAGTACTGATTAAAGACTATTTTTATAAACAAAAAAGTGAATGTTATGTTTTTGTTCTGTTTCATAAGTTCCTCTTTTGCATGCCTGAAAACACTTTGTTTCTAAACTTTTGCCTTAGGTTGTTATTTCATTTTGTCCCCATTGGGTCAGTGGTAAGTTTGTAGACTTGCAGTGCTAAATTCCTGGGTTTGATTCTCTATGGTGAACAGAGAGCAAGTAGCCCTTTATATAGCTTTCCATTAAGACAAAACACATTTCATGTTGTAAAATATGGTGTCAAAGATAAGAAGGATGCAATATGTTGATTGAAATACAATTTATAAAGGAAAGGCAACAGCTTATGTAACAGAACAAAATAATCCAAGGCATGATGGGATAAGAAACAGAAGTTACTTTTCGATTACAAAAACAGTTTTATAAGTTGCAATGCATGCAAGAAATATTATTAAACACCTATGGAAGACTGTTTCGCAGTCCCTATCAAAGGGGAAAAAAAATAGCCTTAGGTTTCATGTCCAGGAAACAAAATTGTTCTCGCTTAAGGTAATGATACATGGATAAGTGCTATGCCCTACAGCTCCCTTCTGTACTTGATGGTTTTGGATATGGATTATTGTTTTGTTGGGCAGTGTTTACTGCAGGAAGCTTTTGGCAAATACATTGAGGATAAAGTTTTCTCCCTCCTCTTTACATGGTTTTTAAAGGCCATCAGCTATACATGGAGAATGATTTCTGAGGGCCAGTTTGAGCAATTCAGTAACATAGAAATCAAAAGAGGTGATTTTTGGTGATTTAGCTGACATGTCTGTAAATGGCATAGCATGAATTTTGTTGTAGTTGCATCTTGCAGAGGAATTGGCATGTTGACATGATTGTGTAGCTTTACCTTGATGGAGCCACACCTTACTGCTACCCAGCCTATACCAAAATGTTTTCTCCTAGTGGTACACACATTGTCAGCTTGTTAGCCTGATAGTGTGCAGACTTCACCTTGACATTTGTCTTGATTCTCCAAATGTTTGACTTACCATTATAGTTGTAATTTGCAACCACCATAAATCCCTTGGAAAACTTTCATATCATGCTTTATACCATTCTGTAAATGTTGTATTACTAGTTGAACAATAATATTTCTCTCAGACTTCTATTTTTCACTTATCAGATGTTGCTCATATAGCTTTTGATGGTTGTTACTTTGTTTGACTATATGCTTTTGGAGAAGCTTATGAACATGTTTCTTTGTATTGGTTTTATATACCTAAATCCATATGAATTATCTTGTTTACAGTTCCATGAGAGTTTCCTATATTAGCTACAATATACTATTGTATACTTGCTTAGGTTTCTTTCTTTACCATCTTCAGCATGTGATGGGTAACCAATCATGGTTATTTTCCCCCTGCTGAACTCATGCCTTCTCTTGCTTTACCAATATGATTTAACAGATTTGATATTTCTTCCTTCAAAATGCTAAAGTTTTGTGCTTTGCATGCTTTTGTAGTTGTGGAATAGGAGAATTTTGTATCAGAAAGTCCTGTAATATAACACTCCCAGAAGGGTTTAACCATAAATCCTACCTATTCTTGCAATTCACCACTTCAACTGAATTGCAACAAGAGAGTTACGGTTTTGACCCTATGTAATTGCAGGCCATTGAGATGACTAGGGCAAGATGATTTGATATGAAAATTACTACCATAGATCGTGCAGAACAGTTGCTCAAAACATTGTAATTTACCTTTGTTCTTTCCATTGGTGTTTATGCAAAACTTTGAATTACTTCTAATGGCAGTCTGTCATTTGGAATAAAGGTTTAACTACTGTCTCTGTGTGCTGATTTACAGATACATTGTTTGAATTACTAATCAGTTGTTGATGTTAATCTACTGCATACCAAGGCTTCTCCTTAAATATATGAAGTCCTCTAAATACCCAGTTGCTTCTGAAAAGATTAATATGCAGAATAGACAGGTCCAGAGCCCAAATACTGTTGTTTTTATAACTTACAGAAATGTTTAGTTTGTGAAGAGATTGTACAAATTTATTATTCTCAATCCACCTACTGTTGGCTGTGCCTGTTGTTCAGTATATGAATGTTGTGCACACCATGATGTTTAGGCTATCCTGGAATGAACTACTAGTTAATCAAAGCTATGTTTATCAGAGATTTGTGTACACAAATCTGATTTAGTAAATCACCTTTATTGAGAAACTTGCTTAGTTTCAGTTAATATATTTTTTCTTTAATGTTACTCCTTATTGTAATTGTTTAAAAATTTATTTTTCAAATTGTTATATTAAATTAACATTAATTTTCAAGAATCACAAATTCCATAGTCCGTAGAAAATATTAAATACAAATTACCAACATTTGTCTTCAGCTGAAATTCTTTTCATTCATGCTTGTGAATGGTGTAAATTCATTATTCTATATTGAATGATGTAATAGCATTTCAATTGAATATTACACCTAAAGAATAATGTTGTTTCTATTTCAGAAGTGCACGTGGTTTCATGCATATGAAGATTGTTTATAATGATGGAAAATTTATCTTGGGTCAGTTCAGCAAACCCTTTTCTAGCATCCCTGAAATGATTCGCCATTATTCTGTGAACAAATTACCCATCAAAGGTGCAGAACATATGTCTCTACTTCATCCAGTCATGGACCAACTTTTATAGATACTTAAGTATAACAAATAATATCTACAGCATTCCTAATCTGATGAAATTAGATTTCATTTCTAGTGATCAGAGTAACCCACTTCTCGTCTATAAACTTTTCTGATTTGATATGTAGTGAACCTCGTCTGTTCTATTAAAAAGATCTATTAGCCTTGCCATTCATTAAGTATACTAGGTATTTCCCTTTACATGCACAGATACATGATCCTTTACTTGTTTTGTTATTGAGTTTTAGATTCATTTATCACAATGAAAAAGAAATATTATTTTATAACAAATTCACGTTTTGTAAGTGTTTCTCTTTGTCTGCAAACTTCTCAAAATTATGTATCCTGATTCTAAAAAATATGAGGTATTTCATTTCTAATGTATTGTTACATATTTTTATTCATTCTAACCTTTCAAAAGAACCTGTATCACTGACTTAATGAAGTAATTGCTTCTTTTTTTGTTATTTGAAATCCTCTAATCCAGTAATTCCCAACCTTCCTGTCATTGAACACGTTCTATGAGGGCAGGAAAAAATTGTGGATAGGCAATGAAGCACTATCTATTTGTCATTATGGAAAACTGAAATAATTTTATGTTTTTGTGGCAATATGCCTAGCATTTCTCAATCTGTGTTGTGTTTTATAATTTTCTGGTGACCTCAAAAGTTCATATGTTATATTAATAAATGTTTTAATTGTATTTTTATTGCAAATATCAGAGTTTTGAGTTTATAGATGATTGATTAAGATGAAGACTGATATAACACATACATTATGAGGCTTGCATCATAGTAATTATGGATAAGTTGTGCAATTGGGGTTATGGAACCACTCAATTTTTAAAATTTTAGAATTGCAGTTGCTGAACGAAAAAAGTTTGGGAACTGTTGTTCTAATCTGTCATGGGCCATCTTCTCTAGAATTCAAACATTCAGAATTTCTACTTATCCAGCAAATTAAAAAGCATCATTGTTTGATTAGTTAGAAGTCCTTAATATCTTACAGACCAATTTCTATAGATCATCATACATCCAGGGTTCTTTGTCTAATAAACTGAATAAATCATTATTTCATTAGTTAGAATCACCTGACCTGTTACAGATAAATTGCTGTATATCACCATACATCCAAAATTATTTATGCTGTGTGTAATAAATTAGACATTGTTGTTTGATTAGTTAGAACCATTTAATTGGTTACAGATCAATTTCTTTAGATCATCATGCATCCAAAATTCTATATACTTTGTATTGTAAATTAGACATTGTTTGATTAATAGAACCATTTAATCTGTTACAGATCTATTTTGTAGATTGTCTGTACATCCAGGATTCTTTTTTTGTCTAGTAAATTAAAGACACCATTACAGAATTGAGGAAAACAAGACAATTGTATGTTTCACAAATACATCATTTATTACAATCATGGTTTTGCCAGTAAAGGCATCATCAGGTACAGCAAAACCATGGTCGTAATAAATGATATATCTGTGAAATGTACAACTGTCTTGTTTTTCCTCAATTCTATAATCATGGAGTTTCACCAAGTACCAATAGTTTAAAATATAAATTATATAAAGTCACCATTGTTTGAATAGTTAGAATCATTTAACCTGTTAAGGTCAGTTTCTCTAGACCATAATATATCCAAAATGCTTTATACTTTGTGTTCTAAATGAGACATTGTTGTTTGATTAGTTAGAATTAATCTAACCTGCTACAGGTCAGTTTCTCTATATTATCACAAGTCCATGTTTCTTGATACCTTGTGTGATAAATCAGAAATATTGTTTTTTGTTAGCTAAGATCATCTAAAATTTCATGAATAATCTTTAGATCTTCACACAACCAGAATTATTTGTATATTATATAGTAATCAAAAAGATCAGTACTGTCATTTGTCATTCAGTTCTCTACATCTTAATGAATTTTTATGATTATATTTTCTATAACGTGTAAAAGAATCTAACCTTTTTATCTGCTCTTCACTTTGCCTAAAGTCTTATCTGATAGGACAAAGATATCTTTTTTATCCAACATGCCATTACCTTACTTCAACAGGTTTTCACACCTCCAAGAAATTTTATACTTTGATGAACAAGTAAATATTTTTTGGGTGAGAAATTTCTTCATTTTATTGGCAGGCTTTCATACATCCTTGCACTTGTGTCTAATTGTGGAATGAAAGATAAGGATCTTTAATCTAGTTAACAAAGTTTTCAATATATTCTTGGCCAACATTTGATGGCCTACACACCATATTCAAGACCATTTAAAAACATTATATAGAAACCAGAAGTCCATTTTGTGGGAATTGTATTTCCAACATATTTTAATATTTGTGTGTATGCAATATATAATGAAATCTCATTATTATATATGTAGTTGTAACTATGAATATATATATCTTTGGTGAAAAAGATATTCACTGTCTAAATCTCTTTATTTCCATCATTCAAATTGTGCATTTCTGAAGGTTTTCTTTTTCTAATACCATGTATTTAGTTGAGAAACTGCACATTTTGCAAACGAATAAATGCATCTATAAGACAAGAAGCTGTCTAAACAAGAATGAGTCTTAATTATGTACGGTCAGTGTGTTTGTGTGTGTGTGTGCGTGCCAGTACATCTACATGTATTAGTAGAATGTCTTCATGAGTTATACTGTATAATTGCCTAATTTAAAATTATCTTATGAAGGATCAGTTACAGAAGTTGAGTGTGCTATAAAAATAAATGTTTTATAAAATAAGCCTCAAATATTCTTGTGCAGCACTGCATGTTAGACAATCCTTTTTTGTTAACATTCTCAGGGGAATAGTTGATGACTTGTATTAATTCAAATAACTGTAACAGCCAACTGCTAATGAAGAATCTAGTAATTAAAATATTTAGAAAATAAATTAATTTTATGACTAACTGAAAAAAATGATGGGAGGATGTTTCTGCTTTATTTATTTGGTTGTGCATAGTTTTCTTTTTTGGAATTTTTAAGAGATATTTTCAGAAGCTGGCCTTCAACTGAACAGTTGCAATGTTTGAGGTTGAAATTTATCACTAGTGATTCCCATACAGTTGTTGTTTCTGTATATGGTTTAGTAACATTGTTCTCTTACTAGTGTTAGAGAGAATTTGTTCCTGGTTTTGATATTGAGTTTATTGTGTTATATATTTTCTTTTTTAGTGAACATTTTCAGAGTACAATCATATGAAAGTACACGTCTTATTCACGTATGTTATGCAATGGAGTGTTTCAGTTCATGATAATCAGAATAATGACTTATCATATCTACTGTAAATGCTTTTGTAAGGTGAAGTGAGCTAAATATTTATTTGTTAAGCTAGCATTTACAGGTATAATGCTTTTATTCACATCTCAAGTGTATTTGTTGTTCTTAATTAAAGTGTTATGGTAGTAAGATGGTATTAACTATACATATTTCTATACAGTTCTTGATGGACTGAAAATGTGCTTAGTTCATTTAATGCAGTATGTGTTTTGTTGTGATTGCTTAGGTACTACTGTGAGATTTACTATAACTTTGATTAAAAGGGGGGGGGGGTAAGTTAATGCTTGTAGCTTATGTTGTTTTTCCATTAAAAAAATTAACATAAAAGAATTAAGGAGAAAATAACATTTTAAAGAATATCTAATTTATTAATGCTGTTTTTGTTAAACTTATCGTAATTTTGTAGTAATTCTAAGGAGCAAAAATAACTCTTGACCAGTTTTTATTAGAGAAACATTAATTTCGATAGTAATTTTTAGAGAATATTTTGTCCTGAACTAACTTATCTTAAAATAACACTAATATCCAGGGTTTCTGATAACATGCTTTGTAAAAAGAAAGTATACGAGATAACAGTTCATCAAAATAGAGCACATAACTTTCTATAATGGTATTTATTTAGGTGGTAAGAATAGGATAACAATCATGAAATTTAAATATGATGCAAAAAATAGTTTTTTCAATGCTGTCCTTCATTCTCAATAATGTTTTTAAAAAGCCCATTATTCTTTAGGTCTAGTATAAATAAGTTTATTAAAATGAAATTTTTTACTATTGGTTGAATAGTAACTGAACAGGTACTTATAAAAACATTGTTACTTAAGATTCATTTTCATGTGTGTTTAATACATCATTGAAATTTTTATCAAGTTTTTATGTGTTAACACAATGTTACTTAAAATTTGTGTGTGTTAGCACTCTCATGTTATCCCCCACTAATTCAAACATCAATCAAATTTCTGCTATCAAACTCAAGTCAAATTCCTAGTCATTACATAGAAAAATTCACAAACCTTTCATCTTGCCATCAGTCATTTATCTCTTAATTTGTGAAGTTTTTTTATTTCATAGATTTTAACATAAAAATATGAAATTCATTATCAAAAGACTGAAACTTTTCAGTTTAGATTCAGTAGTTAATACTATTCTTGTGAGTAAGAGAGTTGGTATGGTAATAGGTTAGTTATTTTCTGCTTTGTATACATCCTTAAAATAAACCCTCATTTTAAATGTTCATTTAACCTCATAATGATTTAAATTGTGTGTTTGACTTAAAATGTTTATGTTTTAATTTCAGTTCGGTAATTCGTAAGAAAGCATATTTATGGTTGTGCAATTTCAAGAAGATAAGAAAGATGCAATAAATGTGTAAAAAAAGATTATGGTGTTTCCGTTAGTTTTTTCTTTCCACAAACATGATTGACTTTAATTACTACTTGAATAAATGTTATTTATTGTAGCTGAAAGTGATTTGATGATTATAAATGACCTCAGAAAATTGTATACCAACATTTTAGTTTTATATTTTCAGGATACAGTAGTGTACTAGAACTATGACACTGCATTTACTAACTAGTTCTTGGATTAAGTGCTAGTGATTATTCTAAGGAGAATATTACAACAATATAATCATAAGTTCAGTATTACATTTTATTCACGTAGGTGTGCATTATTGTTGATTCATAAAATACATACACAACCAAAGAGAATACTTAAAGTGTTTAAAGAACTTGAAATTTTAGTAATTTCAATTGATAACAAATTAAAAGCAAAATCCAAGACACAGATATTTTATTGGTAAATATAGCACCACCATTAAAAATAAAAAAACCATGAATGTTTAGATGTCATTTAGGAAGAAAGGATAATTATTTTGTGTTCCACAATTCTGATGTTTCAATAAGCAAAGCTTTTTTTAAATATTATTTGTATAAAACACTGCAACATTTGGACAAAGGCTTAATAGAAAAAAAAGAGGGGGGTATTGTACAGACCTGTATTATGTAGTGATGTACTGAAGCCTGTTTCTCATCATATTCTAATAAAATACCCTTGATTAGAGACCAAAATATTATAATTTTATTCCGCTAGAAGGCAGAAACGCATATTTTTTGGGGTTTGTATAGGATCATGTCGCTGGTTGTATAGAACACTGAATAGGAGAAATATTGTGTGCTCTACCCAACAAAAGTTAAATCAGATGTGTTAGAATTCGTATGTGGCGATGACCATACTGTTCTTTTCCACTTAATGGTTAAGTCAAGTATACAAATAAATCAACTAATAACATAATAGTATGATAGAGACGAACATTAAATCAATGCTCTTGTTCTTGGTTTTCAAAATTTTTGATAGAAGTAAATGGCTCAATTTTAGTGATTAACATAAATTCATATACAAACAACTTGTGTAGTGTGCCTAATCTGTATGTTGATGTTTTTTACCACGTTAATAATTTTAATTTCGTTTTTTTTGGGGGGGGGGGTGACAATACCGGTAAATACGATGAAGGTTGCTAGCACAATGACGTGTAACTTGTATGGTGCACTGTTTGCAACAGTGACAAAAAAAAAACAGCACTGAATGTAATGCAAGTTTTAGCAGTGGCCTAAAAGCCACGGCCTCGCATCGATTTTCACAAATCAATAACAGTGTGCGGAGG